TGTGCAGTGTGTGTGTGTGTGTAATATTCAGTGTGCAGTGTGTGTGTGTGTAATATTCAGTGTGCAGTGTGTGTGTAATATTCAGTGTGCAGTGTGTGTGTGTGTGTAATATTCAGTGTGCAGTGTGTGTGTGTGTAATATTCAGTGTGCAGTGTGTGTGTAATATTCAGTGTGCAGTGTGTGTGTGTAATATTCAGTGTGCAGTGTGTGTGTAATATTCAGTGTGCAGTGTGTGTGTGTGTGTAATATTCAGTGTGCAGTGTGTGTGTGTGTGTGTGTGTGTAATATTCAGTGTGCAGTGTGTGTGTGTGTGAGGTTGCTGAGAAAGCCTCAGAATGAGACTCATATCTCCTGATGACCTGCATAGTGGAGGGTGTGTTTATTTCCGTGGTGCTACTCTGTGCGTGTGGCACCGGGTCAGATAGGGGCAGCCGGCCGTTCACAGATCCTGCACTATTATTAATTTAAGCTGTTATTTTAGAGGAACCAGGAGTGTCTCACATGTCATGCTGTAGCGTTGACGGAGATATCCAGGATGGCCAGTGGCCCCTTTTGCCTGGTCTCTTCCCTAATTGGTCGATCCGCCTGCCATACTTATTGAGGATCCTTCCGGCCAAAAGACCACAAGTGATGTTCCTAGTGAAAGTGGCGAGATATGAGACAAACTGGCAGCTTTTAATCTCCAAATGTAATGCCACAGCGGGAAACCACAGCCTAATGGCTGTTTGCTGAGATGAAAGTGTGCAGTCCTCACTCTCATTTAGAGAATGGGCTGTAAGTCTGGATGGCTGGGAGCTTTAATTATGTTTGGGGAGCCGTGCCGTAGAATTTCCGGAGCTTTCCGGCAGCTTCCTGACGAAGACGGTGGTGTAGTCCAGGCTTGGGTGGGATTTGATCGGCGCTGTCTGGTTTATGAGGACAGCGGAGGATTTACCTTCTCAGGAGGCGCGACACTGGCCTTGCTGGGAAGCTCCCAGTCGCCTACTGGAGCTATTTTATGAGCTGCAAGAGAAAAAAACGAGAGAAAGACATAAAAAACAATGTAGCATCAATATTCTGCTAATCAGCGCTCAGGGTGCCGTTCGGGGGGGGGGGGTGACTACTCGCAGATCAAGTTAATAATTTAACCGTCCGACCTTTTTTCTTGAGGGGGGCCCTAGGCTATACCCTAGGATAGCCTAGGCATTAATCTGCGCCTGTGTGAGAACAGAGGGGTTTCAGGGTTCCCGTTAGGGACCCTTCTGTCACTAGCAGCAGGATGGCTGCCGTGGATCTCATGTTTAGAGATTCCTGTCCGTCATCGTCGTGTAGGATTAGCAGGAGCGCCAGCCTGGCGTTTGTCGTCCGAGGCCCCTGGCAGAGCTCCTGCCGTCGTGGCTGCGTTTTTCCTCACAAAGATAATGGGGTCACCATTGATGACAGCAGCAAAATACTCTTCAAGAAGGCATACATTTACTCTCCACTGGTAGGTCAGGGCCAGATACTGCAAGTAATGCAGATAATATATATATATATATATATAATATAAAAAAAA